AGTTCCCTTCTGGGCTGAGAGGGAACAGCGATTTCCTGACTGAGGAAGGCTTTTCCTGACGCTCGCTCCTGGGAGCGTGGGTGGTGCTCTGCCTGCTAGTGTTGTGTCAGCTCTAACCATAGGCTTGGTGGCAGCAGAGTCTGGCACCGGCAGGAACTTGCTGAGGTTCAGATTTCATTTGTTCCACACGTGCACCGGCTGACCACAGACTCTTTTTCCGCACTGAGCTTTGGGGGCTGGAAGGAGCGGGTAAGGGGTGGGCTGCTTCCTGGCTGGCAGCAAGCCAGGGCACCCCCTCCCCTCCACAGGGGGCTCTTCTACAGATAGTCTTGGGGAGGCCAGGGGCCCTGGAGTTGGGGTGATTTCCCATGTGGTGGGAGGGGCCTTCCTTTTGTTGTGGCCTGAGGCAGAGCCAAAGCTCTGGCCTCCCTTGCCCAGAGTGCCCTGAGGGAAGGTTACTGATAGGGGGGGGCTGCCTCTCTTCTGGCTTGGAGTCTCTGGGAGGAGAGGGCCCCTTGGAGTATCCTGTAGTGGAAACTCCACGTAGCAGGCTGGGGCACACACCTGGCTGATACTAGCTGCTTCCTTCTCCAGGGAACTGTCTTGGTGAAAGGACCCTTCCGGCCTGGAAGGTTCTAACCCCGTCTAATGAGTAAGTGGTGTGGGGGTGCTGGTCCAGGAAAGGCAAGCCAAGCCCTTGCCTTAAGGAGGGACCAGCAGTGAACCCCAGTCTGCTTCCTTCGGAAATCACAGGAGCTCAGGAGCTAGAAAGATGAACAGACACATCCATCCCATGAACCAGCAGGCCCACTCCCGACTGTCACACAATACCTGCAGGTGAATGTGGGTCCCAACTCCAGTCACACCTGAACACCTCCACTTGCCCTTCACTGGGTGTGTGAGTCACAGGCTGTGGTGGCACGCTCTTGAAATGGAATATTACTCAGCAAGGAAAAGGAACAAACCCATCCATCGACATGACCCACTGGATGGACCTCACAGGCCTTATGCTGAGCAGAAGAAGGCAAAGATTACGTTTTGTTTATTGGATCTTGTTGAAAAAGAGAAACGCGGGGAGTGGGGAGAGAAAAAGAGAGGAGCTGATAGGAGGGCTCAAATTGAAAGTACATGTTTAGAAAATGACGATGGCGACCTATGTACAAACATGCTTGACACAATGGATGTATGCAATGTTCTAAGAGCTGTCAGGGGCCCTGATAAAATGATTTTAAAAAATAAAGAAAATAT